GGCCTGGTCACCCCTTATTGCCCTCCCCTGAAGGCCTACACCCCTCCCCCATTTATCCCACCCTGAAAGCCTGGTTTTCCACAACTGCCCTCCTCTGCTGGCCTATTCAACCCTAACTGCCCTCCCTGCTGGTCTGATCACCCACAACTACCCTCCCCTGCAGACCTGGTCTCCCCCAACTGCTCTCCTCTGCCGGCCAGTTCACCCTTAACTTCCCTCCCTGCTTGCCTGATTGCCCACAACTGCCCTCTTCTGAAGGCCTGCTCCCCCCCCCAACTGCATTCCCCTGCAGACCTGGGACCCCCCAAACTGTCCTCCCCTGCAGGCCTAGTCCTCCCAAACTGCCCTCCCCTGAAGGCATGCCCCTTCTCCCAACTGCCCTACCCTGCTGGCCTGGTTTTCATCAACTGCCCTCCCTGCTGGCCTGATTATCCACAACTGCCTTCCTTTGCAGGGAGAACATATACACACAAAACACTGTACACAAATTTCATGCATCAAGTCTCTAGTTTAAAATATTTGGTCACTGCACCTAAAACCATCTGGCAGGCAATTCTGGAACATCTTGCTACCTGAAGATCAATTAGGACTACTGTTTAAATGCACGGGATGACATTCAAGTTTAGAAATGAAAAGTGCCTAATACCACAAACCTCCCTACTGGCCCCTCTTATTGCCAGCCCTCTTTTGAAAAGTAAGGAATTTGTATTTGTTTTAAAGAGCTGGCTATTATTCCCTCATTTCTATTTCACCTTAAGATTACCCAGTAAGCAGGAAATACCTTTTCTATGAAACTAAAAAACACTTGGTCTTATAACAAATTTAGAAATTTTGGGCATTACATTCCTCTGGTAGAATATTTTTCTTAAAAATTAAAGAAAATCATTGTTTAAATACTGCTCTCACACTTTTAAGTTCCAGGGAAATTTTAGGGGGAAACCCACACATACATACACATATTAATGCATAAAAAGAATGTTTCTTTCCCAACTGTGAAGGCGAGGCGGTGCTGAACTTTTTTTTAGCAAGGACACAGCTGACCAAACCACAGAGCATTCACCAACCCCATCATCCAACCAACCCCCTTGCTGTTCCCCTGGCTTGCATCCACTGGACTCATTTCCACCCACCATTTGCAGGATGCCTCTGTACAGCCATATGGACCAAGATGATGAGTCATCTATCATCCAGAATTTTTCGCTTGACCTTTCCACACCCAGCCACCTTCCACACATTCGACAGGCACATCTCAGGAGAGCATGTGCCCTGCACCGGGAGTTTAAGGCTGAACACAAGAACTAGGCATTCCTGACACTCCTCACTTTGCCAAATGGATTTATTCCAGAGCTTTTCAGAAATATCACGACTGAAGAAGTGACCAGATGGGGTGTTCAAGGAGAAACATACAAATGAAGTCAGTTAGGAGACTGACGTACTTGATGAAAAACAGACCTAGGATGTAAAAGAACTTCAGTTTTTCACCCTGAGAGGAAGTCATGGCAAAAGCAAAGCACTGCAAAGACATATAAAACACTCCATAGCTGAACTGACTTTTTGACTTCACATAGCTAAACGTTTTTAAATCTACATTTGAACCTAACACTTCATAAAGTCACCACGAAATATCAGGAATAAATAATAACAGCAGAATCTCAAACTTATATAGCACTTATTCTACGCAAACATTCCTCTAAGCACTTGGCATATATTCACTCACTTGATCCTTATAAACCCTTTTCTAATCTGCTTGCCATGCAGAATAGGATGTGGAGAAGGCCAGGTATCTTGCCCGAGGTCACACACACTGCCAGTAAGTGAAAGAGCCGAGATTTGGAATGAGCAGCCTGGTGTGACCTGGGATTAATTATTATTACACTGACCACATTCCCAAAAACCTGTAACCCAGATGATACCCTTTTAAAACAGATTTTTTTTTTTAAGTTTACTAAAAAAGTTCGCTTTATAAGTTGAGAAGCCTTACATTAAAGAATTTTTTAAACTTGGGAAATTACTGTTAGATGGTGGTGGAGCCAAAGTTTATCAGTCATGGCAAATACCTACCCAAGAAGTATTGGAGGGCCGAAGCCAGTTTGGCTCAGTGGTAGAGCGTTGGTCTGTGGACTGAAAGGTCCCGGGTTCGATTCCGGTCAAGGGCATGTACAGTGGTTGCGGGCACATCCCCGGTAGGGGGTGTGCAAGAGGCAGCTGGTCGATGTTTCTCTCTCATGGACGTTTCTAACTCTCTATCTCTCTCCCTTCCTCTCTGTAAGAAATCAATAAAATATATTTAAAAAAATATATATATTGGAGGGCTAACTCTTGTGAGTTAAATGCATAGTGTCTGGAGAAGAAGTTAACCTGGCTGAAGAAGTGATGGTGGCCAAGAAACTCAAAAGGCTTGGAAGACAATAAAAGAAAGCCCGGGGTTGTGGTATCTAACCTCAGTCACAATGCCGTCAATTCTTCCTGCTCAAACTCTTCTGGTTTGAGCAGGAAGAATTGTCTCCTTTCCATCACATTGCTATTGTTTAAATGCAGACCTTCAACATCCCTTGGTCCAACTATTCTACCAATCTCATCTTTGGCTTCTAGTCACCACTGCCTGCCTCCCTGCCCAAGCACCTTACATCTTCTCTGCTGCTAAGCAAAGAGTCTCTCTGAGACACAAATCCAATGTCATATGTGCAGGAGAGCAGCTGATCAGTGATTCTCATCATTGATGTTTCTATCTCTCCCTTCCCTTCTGAAATCAAAAAAATATATAAAAATAAAAATAAGAATGCTCCACAGAACAAATCCTATGGGTGTTGGGAATGAGGCAGGAGATTCTAGGGTCAAGTAAAATTTAAAAATACCTCATGATGTCTCCTTCTGTGAAGCATTAAATCACATGATCATATTAAAAGTTTGGTCCTAGCCAGTTTGGCGTAGTGGATAGAGCATCAGCCTGCGGACTAAAGAGTTTGATTCTGGCCAAGGGCACATTCCTGTGTTGCGGGCTTAATCCCCAGTGGGGGGTGTGCAGGAGGTAACTCATCAATGATTCTCTCTCATCATTGATGTTTCTATCTCTCTTCCTCTCTAAAATCAATAAAAATATATTATATATAAAAAAAAAAGTTTGGCAAGCCTGAACGTGGCACATGCAGGAGGCAACCAATCGGTGGGTTTCTCTCACATCAATATTTCTCTCTGTCTTTCCCTTTCTTCCACTTTCTCTAAAAATCAATAGAAAAATATCTCCGGTGAGGATAAAAAGAAAGTAAGTTTGGCAAAATCCTGAAGTAAAGGAAACTGGTTAACTTTGACACTACTAGCAATTCTGGGCAGGTAATGGAACCTTGCAAGTGTTCAGAATAATTCTCAACACAGTGTTAGCAATCAATAGTTAAACTGACATTTTCTAAATATATTTGAACACAAAGTCCATTTTCTGATCTAGCCATTAAAAGCACTGCATGCTATATACATTGAGAAATAATGTCATAGAATAAATACTCCACCATATCAGTCATTTTAGAGGTTTGTGGCTCTAGACTTTAACTGAAAAATACAGGCAACCTAATAGCTTGAATGTGGGACATTTCCTCTGGTTTCTCTGTAGCTGGCAAACAAGGTTTCAACTGTCAGCTTCCCGAGGTTTCAGTTTCACCAAATTAAGACAGAAATGTGTGCACTGTGTGAACTAGACAAAAGCAGCCCTGCAGTGGAAAGAGGTTTGTTTGAGCTAAATTTTCACAATCCATTTTTTTGTTCATAGAAAGCAGTATGTTCATCAGCAAACTTAAAGGAGAAGATTCTGAATTCCAGCTTGTTCAAGTATAAAACTGCAGTGTTTTGTGTGTGAGCATCTGTATGTATTTTCTTGGGTGAAATATCATAGTTGTCATCAAGGGATCCATAATGCCTAAAAAGGTTAGGAACCACTCAGTTTTCAGATCAGGTCCATGTATTGTTTAAATACATATTAAAAATCAAACAGTACCAGGGTGTATGGATACATGGTGAAAAGTAAGTCTCCCAATCCTAATACTTGCCCAGAGTCAACCACTGTTACCAGTTTTTTATACTCCAAAGATAGTTTATGCATGTGTTTCTTTTTTTTTAAATATATATTTTATTGATTTTTTACAGTGAGGAAGAGAGAGATAGAGAGTTAGAAACATCGATGAGAGAGAATCATCGATCAGCTGCCTCTTGCACACCCCCTACCGGGGATGTGCCCGCAGCCAAGGTACATGCCCTTGACCGGAATCGAACCCAGGACCTTTTAGTCTGCAGGCCGATGCTCTATCCATTGAGCCAAACCGGTTTCAGCTATGCATGTGTTTCTAAGTATATACAGTAATATTATGCCATCCTTCTATTTTTGCATAAATGATATGCATTGTACACTATACTACAACTAGCTTTGTTCACTTGGCAGTTTATGTTGAGATCTATTCATATTATAACATAGGTACATACCAAATATGAGACATTCCTATGATAGATACTTAGTTATCAATGTCTTGCTTTATAAATAATGCTGAAAATAAACATTCTTGAAGCTATATCTTTAGGCAAGAAATCTAGCAAAGAACTACTGAAACAAAAAATATGAAGTCTGTTAAACCATCCTCCAAAGGTTGTGCATTGTATACTCAACACTTATTTCACACATACTCAATACAAGATTTTCAAATTTTCTATCTCTGTTAATCTGACAGGTGAAAACAGTAACTCCTGGCTTAAATTTTTGTGGCCTATTCTGAATGAAAGAACCTCTGGTTTCAGACATACCCTGTTTCCCCGAAAATAAGACAGTGTCTTATATTAATTTTTTCTCCCAAAGTTGTGCTAGGTCTTATTTTCGGAGGATGTCTTATTTTCGGGGAAACACGGTACTTATAACAACTTAGTCATGGAAAGAAGAGGCATCATCAAACTGGAACAATAGCGGAATTCTATTAGGAACAAGCTATTCCCAGAAATCCAGCTTACCCATGAGTCCCACTCACCGTCTAGCAGCCAGTGCTGGTCCTGTCGGTTCTCCAGCTCCGACAGCATCATGCGTGTGATCACGTGGTCTGGAACCAAGCGGCCTTTCTCTATGTACTGCTTTGCCACATCACCAACTTCTGTTAAAAAGACCGGAGAAAAGAGATTCTCAGAAAAGGCTTCAAAAATAAAAATAAAAATCTTACAAATTCTTTTTGGACAGTTTTGCCTTCTCTCCCATTCCTCCTGGTTCATGTGGGGGCAAGGGAAGGTTTTAGAGTAAAGTTTTAAATATTGCTTCGGTAATGGTGGCACTACCTCCCAAAGAATTACAAAAGCAGCTCTTGAAGAAATAAACATAAAAGAATATAAATTAGACATAACGTGGAAACAAGAGTAGGAAACAAAGTTGCAGTCTGGAAAGAGGGTGGTACACAAAAGGCCAGGGAGGAATCCTGGCGACTCCCTGAAGGTGAGCCAGAAACAGGATACTGAGCCTCCCAACAAGTTATGGTAACAAGGAAAAGTGACCAACCACACGACATAGTTAGTATTCAGAAGACTGAAGGAAGCTGCAAAGCACAACCATTCCTTAGAGACCAAAGGAAAAACATTTCCACTGTTCTTCCAGAAAGAATGCTGGATAGTATACACAACAGGTCTGTATCTTTTCTGGAGCCTCAGTATAAGCAAATAGCGCCTTGCTGACATAATTGTAAAAATAAAAAGCTAAGTCAGCCGAAGCCGGTTTGGTTCAGTGGTAGAGCGTCAGTCTGTGGACTGAAAGGTCCCAGGTTCGATTCCGGTCAAGGGCATGTACATTAGTTGTGGGCACATCCCCGGTAGCGGGTGTGCCAGGAACAGATGGTCGATGTTTCTCTCATCGACATTTCTAGCTCTCTAGCTCTCTTTCTTCCTCTCTGTGAAAAATCAAAAAAATATATTTAAAAAAAAAAAAAAAAAAAGCTAAGTCAGTGTTATCAGTGGAATGCCAAGATCATAAATGAAATTTTAAAAATTATTTTTAACTTAATTTAAAATAACAATTCCTTACTTGTAGAAGTTGTGAGTTGGATTCAGCAGAATAAATGATCAGTTTAAATTGGTTAAATTTCTAGGCACTGAGTTTTTATTTAACCAAGATGAAGTCATCTGAATCAATAAACGACAAATGTTGGGAGGATGTGGAGAAAAAGAAACTCTGGCACACTGCTGGTGGGAATGCAGATTGATACAGCCATTGTTTTTCTCCTCAAAAAACTAAAAATGGAACTCCCATTTGACCCAGTAATACCACTTCTAGGAATATATCCCAAGAAGCTAAAAACATCAATCTGAAAGGATATATGCACCCTATGTTCATAGCAGCACAATTGATTAAAGTATTACAGACCAAATCTTAGTTTGGTCTGACCATAGCTTAAGATTTGGAAACAGCCTAAGTGCCCATCAGCAGATGAATGGATTAAAAAAAATGTGGTATATCTACACAATGGAATACTACACTGCACTAAAAAAGAAGGAATTCCTATCATTTGCAACATGAATGGAACTGGAGAGCATTATGCTAAGTGAAATAAGCCAGTCAAAGAAAGATAAATATCACATGATCTCACTCATTTATGGAATATAATGAACTACATAAACTATGAACAAAAACAATTCCAGAGAGCAGAGAAACATCAATCAGACCATCAAACCTCAGAGGGAAGGTAGGGAGGGTGAGGGTAAGGGGGAGAGATCAACCAAAGGACTTGTATGCATGCATATAAGCCTAACCAATGGACTCAGACAACAGGGGTTGAGTGTGAGGGCATGAGTGGGGGTTTGGGGGGATAATGGGGATATAAGGACACTTATGTAACATCTTAATCAATAAAGAAATTTTTTTTAAATATATTTTATTGATTTTTTACAGAGAGGAAGGGAGAGAGAGAGCCAGAAACATCGATGAGAGAGAAACATCGACCAGCTGCCTCCTGCACACCCCCCACCAGGGATGTGCCCGCAACCAATGTACATGCCCCTGACTGGAATCGAACCTGGGACCTTTCAGTCAGCAGACCGACGCTCTACCACTGAGCCAAACCGGTTTTGACTCAATAAAGAAATTTTTTAAAAATGAAGTCATCTGCCGGACCGGTTTGGCTCAATGGATAGAGCGTCGGCTTGGGGACTGAAGGGTCCCGGGTTCGATTCCGGTCAAGGGCATGTACCTTGGTTGCGGGCATATCCCCAGTAGGGGGTGTGCAAGAGGCAGCTGATCGATGACTCTCTCTCATCGATGTTTCTAACTCTGTATCTCTCTCCCTTCCTTTCTGTAAAAAATCAATAAAATATATTTTTTAAAAAAAATGAAGTCATCTGCTCTCTAGGGAACTGTTAGTGAACCATGAGCCAATGAAGTTCATAGAAACATAAAGCAGCATCATATTACTGGGTGGGGGGGTGGGAATGGGGGTGGGGGAAACTCAAGAATCATTTCCCTCCACCTTCACCTTGAATTTAAGGTAGAGCCTTTCCTTCTCAAGGCTGAGTCTACGCCTAACTCCAACTTACACACTGAAACATGAGCTGTGAAGAGCTCCATATCACTCCACTCCTCCTGGACCAAAGCAGCCCAGTTAGGCCCCAGGAGTTGCGTATTCAATAACTCCCTGAAGAAGCAGAACACAAAAGACAAGCACATTCTTGAATGTGGCTGAACATGAATGGGAAAATATTGATTGATTGCATACTACGTAACAGGTAATATTCTAGAGAGGTGACAGTAAAGAAAAGTACTGATATTTAAGCAGTATTAATTTCCTTAAGAGCAATACTAGCGATCATTAATAGATACTATGCTCCTTTAAGTATCATATGTGGCATTTCATTTTATCCTCATATATAAGGTAACAGCCATTTTTTATGACAGTTTTTTGAGACATAACACACACCACAACATTGACCATTTTATAATGTATAGCTCAGTGGTTTTTAATACATTCTTAGTGTTGTGCAATCATCACCACTACCTAATTCCAGAACATTTTTATCAACCCCATTAGCAGTCACTCCCCATCTCCTCCTCCTCCTGATAGCATGTGGCAACTACTACTAACCTGCATTCTGTCTTTAAAGATTGGCCTATCCTGCACATCTCATATAAACAGAATCACACAACATGTGGCACTCTGTGTCTGGTTTCTTTCACTTAGCAGAATGATTTCAAGGTTCACTCACGGTGTAACATGTATCAGTACTTTATTCATATTTATGGTCAAATAATGTTATTCCCTTGTACTGATAGAACATATTTTGTTTAGCTATTTGTTCATTGAGGAACATTTGGGTTGTTTGTTTCCACTTCAGGGCTATGATGAATAATGCAGCAGTGAATATTCATGCACAAGTCTTGGTCTGAAAATCATCTTTCAGTTCTCTTGAGTAATACTCGTAGGGCAGTGGTTGGCAAACCGCAGCTCGCGAGCCACATGAGGCTCTTTGGCCCCTTGAGCGTTCTCATGCCACTTCTTCAAAATAGACTCGCCCAGGCAGAAGAAAACAGACTTCTGCGCATGGACCAGGAAGTTTCAATCGCACTCTACCTGCACACCGGCACGTGGCATTTTGTGGAAGAGCCACACTCAAGGGACCAAAGAGCCACATGTGGCTCCCGAGCTGTGGTTTGCCAACCACTGCTGTAGGGTATGTATGTTCTGTATCTGAAAAAAAAAAAATCAACTTTCATAGTAGGCTTGGAATATCTGACAAGTTTGGTGCTGTCCTACTCTGCAATGGTCAAGCCAACCAGCCCCAGAGCTCTATTCTTAGTCACATACAACTAACCTTACGGTAGATATAAACAAGTACACATCTTCCAAGGTGAGAGACCAAGATGTGAAATGGCGCCAGACATCCCAAGAGGAAAGAGTAGATGGCAGGTTCTTTGGAAAAGAGAAGACCCAGAGAAAGAGATAACACTTTACCCATGACCTGATACTTGATACATGGGAAGGGCATTGTTTTAAGCCTAGGATTTAGAATTAAGACTAGTAGTGAGAATTTCAAGTGGTTAATAAAGTTGCTTAAGGAAATGTCTGAATGGAGATTCAACACTGCCTAGGAAAGGATACTGTAGAGGGGTTCTGACAACTGGGCTCGGATTGGGCAACATGGTTTTCCAACTATTTTGGGCATCCTTGGCTCTCTCGGACAGTATAGACATGTCCTCAATCTGATTCCAAAATCAAACTTTCACCACATCTCTCAATCCCCACCACGCAAACCTGCAAAGGTCAACAGTCAGAGCAAAATGGATTTAATAATAAATATCTACATCTAAATGAAGACCTTGCTCAACAGCAAACAGTAATACGACAGTCAGAAGATAGAGGCCCATTCCGGGAAACATGACCTTCACCTCCCAGGTCAGTTTGCTGGGAAGAAAAGCAATATTATTAAATGCTAATGCTAGCACATTTGGATACAACACATGGCTGCTCCAATTTTTCAAGTAAAATTCCAAAGAAAGTTTGCAGACAACACACATTGTCTTTTTTTTTTTTGAGTTTTTTTTTTTATTTTGAAGGAATATTTAATATGAACATTGTGAGTTATTATCTTTTGCATATCGAAGTTAAACATTTCAAACAAATCATCATTTATATTTACAGTATACAAATGCAAAGAACTAATTTCCCACTAAATCATCACTTTCTTAAACACATTGTCTTTTTTGTTCTGATCACCTATAAATTAAGGAAAAACTGGACAGAACTGGACAAGTGTACACAGAACAGCAAATTCCCCAAGATGACTAGCCAGATCACCAGAAACAGATAACAACTCAATGTCCTTTTATTTTCTAAGTATTTTTATTGATTTCAGAGGAGAGAGAGACAGAAACATCATTGAAGAAAGAGAATCACTGAATCACTGATTGGCTCCTCCCAGAAGCCTCACACCGGAGATCGAACCCGCAACCTGGGCATGTGCCATGTTGACGCTCAACCACTGAGCCATGGCAGCTGGGCTCAATGTCCTTTTAATTGTCCATGCCAGAAAACACTGAGAATAAAAGAACCCTGTAAAAACAGCTTGATTTCTTTATAAGGCTGCCTAGAACCAGGAGAAACCACTGCCACTCCCAGTATCA